TCCAGGAGTTTGGCCATGTCTCCGGGCCAGTCGGCCAGCTGCACCGTGAAGCGACTGACTCTGTCGTCCAGAACCAGAGCTCGCTCCACACACTGCAGAACCAGGTCCAGCTCCATGTTTGCACTGCTCACCACCACTGCCACCCTTCTTCTTAGCAATGCATATTACTAATCAAACATTAAGTTTTGATATATTTACGGTAGGAGATTTACAAAATATCTTCATGGAACATGATCTTTACTTAATATCCTAATGATTTTTGGCATAAAAGAGAAATGTATAATTGTGACCCATACAATGTATTGTTGGCTATTGCTACAAATATCCCCCAGCGACTTAACACTGCTTTTGTGCTGCAGGGACACATATCTTTTTTTTCTATATACAGGTTTTCCGCGGGTCCTTAAAACGTCTTAAATGTAGTTGTATCAAATTTAAGGCCATAAAAAGTCTTAAATTGTACAAGAAAGTCTTAATTATGATTTCAGGAGGTCTTAAATTTGGGGACGGGAAGACCAGAATTGCGATATGGCTTAATGTGACGATTAAACTTCAAAAGGGAATGATTTCATTAAATAAACACGAGTGCTGCGCGTTTCAAATCCGGTGCTGCGCTGCTTTGTGTTCTGCTTTTTTAAGAAACGGGATGAGTCAAAAGACTTTTTATAGCCTTAAATTTGATACAACTAAATGTAAGACTTTTTATGGGGAAACCGCAGTATTTCTGCCGTTCCGAAAGCGCCTCCTGCTGGCAGAGAAGGAATTAGCATTTTTCAAAAAGTCAGTCTGCTGTTTCTGTTCAGACCAGTGTGAAAATCACCCCGTTTTACGCCGCAAACACATGCTAATGCATTATAACAATCTAAACAATTAAGACACTAAGATATATTTATATGTTGTTTACTATAATAACTGATTGAAAATACATTGCAAAAACTGTTTTTCTTACTTAGAATTTTTAACAAAATTTGGTTAGTTTTTGCTTAAAACAAGGAAAAATATCTGCCAATGGGACAAGAAAAATAATCTTGTTTTGCCTATGAATTAAGATTATTTTTCTTACCCCACTGGCAGATAATTTTCCTTATTTTAAGCAAAAAGTTTCAAACATTAGATTTTTCTTTTTCTTTTTAGAAAACAAAACTTAATATCATAAGCCACTTTGCTTCTCAAGTAAATGCATCCTGATTCAAGAATGTTTAGATTTAGATTTATACTAGAAAACAAGACAAAAACACAGTGTTTTGTTTTGCAGTGTAATTGTTTAAATTAATATAATTGTTACTTTTGACTCATCTATTTTCTCATCTGTTTTCTCTACCCCGCTCATATGGTATTCATTTTATTTGTGCAGGTGTTAAAAAGGTCTTAAAAAGTCTTAGATTTGATTTTAATAATCCTGCAGATTCCCTGTATATAAATGTGTTACGTTTGAACTATTTGTCCCTTTAAGTTTGTTTGTTTTTATTATTTATTACATTTTTTGAAAACTCAGTGTTTATCAGTATCTCTTCAATGTGAGAGATTATGTTCCGAGTCAAAATGATGAATTGGATTCAATACAATTCACCAAAAATTACACTTTAAAACAAAAACAAAAAATCAGATGAAATTAGTCAACGTTTAACGTTAATACTTCTCACACGACAAAAAAAGTAAACATGAGACCATTTTTTAACAACTATTTTTTAAACAATTCTGTTTCACAAAACTGTAATATTATAAACAGTATTTAAATATTTTAAAATATTTGAATATTTAAAAATGTCTTAATTTTGATTGCATGCTTTCTTGAAGTTCAGACAGTAAAGCATGGTGCTCGCATTGAGTTCCTGGGTTCTAGTCCCAGAAACATTCACATGCATGAACTGAAAAATGTGTCTGCCAAATGATTACATCTACATAAATGTAATGTTAATTTTAACATTTACTAATCATTTTTGTAAAGTTGTATCTGTTCAGATTAGATATTGAACTAACATGAACAAACAACAATTGTATTTTTACAATTAAAGATGAATAAATGCTGTAAAAAAACACGTTGCTCGTTAGCGAATGCATTCAACTATGTTAACAAATGAGACCTTATTGTAAATGTAAATGTTAAAGCAATACAACTAAACATTTTTTTTCTTGTAATATAGTTAATTAGCACATGCATAGACTGTTTAGAGTTGCCAAGCAGCATAGAAACTGAGTGCATTAATATAGCGTGTGTCGCAGGTGCGTGCTGATCTGCATTTCGGCTCATGCATTCAGAGCCAGAGCTTGTTTTCTGAACGAGATTGGGCTCAACAGATCGCTGAAATGAGTTCAGCCAACTGTTTAGCAACACGAACACGAGGAAGTCTCATCAGAAAGAGTCCAGGTGGACACTGACCCGGTTAGGATGGTAATGAAGCGAGTGAGGGGCTTTAAGCACCAGAGAGAGAAGACATCAGAGATGGAGTGCATTGATGTGAACACATATCTAACCACAGAACACACTCCACATGACACACACTTACTAAATGCTTATTGATGATGCTTACTATATATAGGCGAGCAGGTGAGCCCAGAATATCAATGCAATTATTCCTTTTTATTATGATAAAATAAAGCAATAAGCTCCAAGAAGCCGTGGTTTACAGTGAATGTATAACAGTTAAGGGGCGTTGTTAGCTTAGCTGTTATAAATTCACTGTAAACCACGGCTTCACGGGGGTTACTGCTTTTATAAAACGGTTATTGCATAGACGCAGTAAGGTTTCACAAAATAAAACAGAGCAAATAAAGTGTAATGATATTAATAAACACAGTGTTCTTCCAGCAAACAATGTAGCTCCTCAGAAACAGTTGTGGTTGCTACAAAGTAGTTGCCGAGCAACACACAAATGTAAACAAAGGTGTGTGTTACTTTGTAGCATCATTTACAACAGCTTCGAACACGGCTCAGCCAATCAGAGCCAAGCACCGGAGCTCTCCGCTGTATAGTTCTGGATATGATTGATTTTCCGGGATTCGCCAAAAACGACACGACAAAATCAGGTAAAAACCTTTTTTTAAAACTTTTAACTTTGATACTTCTCACACGTTACAAAAAAGGTAAACATTTTTTAAACATTTGTTTATCACAAAATTATATTATTGTAAACGGTATTTGAAATATTTTAAAATATTTAAGTATTTTAAATGTTTTTTTGTTTTTTTTTTAACGTTCCTGAAGCTCAAACGGTAGAACATGGCGCTCGCAACGCCACGATCATGGGTTCGATTCCCAGTCAAATTCACATGCATGAACTTTAAAATTAACACTTTCATTTCAGCGTACATTTCTTTGAGTAGAAGCGACTGCCAAATGCTTAAATTGTCTGTGCACCTGCCTTTAACCATGAAATCAGTGGATCAAACTGACCCGCCAACATAACAGTGTCTATAGAAATGTCATACACCTCAGAGTGTTGAAACTTTGCAGACATGCTCATGCCTGTAGAAAATAGTCATAACTTCAAGAAAAACATCCTTGGACAACTCCAAAATGTGTTGCAGGTCAAACTGATCCAGAAAAAAATATAAGCATTTTTTCCTTCCATAGAAACCCATTATTAAGAAAACGCTTGAGATGTAAGCGTTCAGATTTTGTATTCATCTGTTTGCCTGTATATAGTATGCATTATGATTATGCTATACACTGAAGTTGTTCCCAGACCTGCGGATGCGTGAGAGATGGATCCAGTCACTGGTTTGGACACGTCTATTCAGTCTTCATTCTGACTGTGTTTTATCAGTTAGAATAACTTGGAAACTTGTTGCAAAATGCGTTACACAGATGAAAACTCAATATATTCTTTGTATAGATTCCAACTTTTGGCTGCTCGTGTAATTTCACTCACTTTTACTGATGCACAGACAAACCAACCCATCTTTTCTAGTTCTCACACTTACTTAAATTTTGGAATAGTTACGATTTTAAAATGTTTTTGAAAGAGTCTCTTCTGCATGTATTTGATCAAAAATACAGTAGAAAATGTGAAATATTATTGCGATTTAAAACAGCTGTTTTCTATGTGAATCTCTGTTAAACTGTAATGTATTTCTGTGATGCACAGCTGTATTTTCAGCATCATTACTCCAGTCTTCAAAACCATTAGCAAATCTGAATTATTCCAGACATTTGACAGATAGTGTGCAGCATGAAGAATATCTCTGGCCTCTTCTGAGGTTTTTAGGGTCATGAGTCTGAACAGTAGACGTCACTGTAAGACTCGGAGAGCAGAAGTGAATCACATGATGAATAAGTCAAAGGGTCTAGATAATGAAGATGCAGAAGTCATCATGATGTCAGACTGTTGTCTAACGCGTTTGCTCTGCCAGCATCATTACAAGTAACGCGAGTTACGTAATCAGATTACTTTTTTCAAGTAACTAGTAAAGTAACGCATTGCATTTACTGTAGCTCTGATGCATGCAGATATTAAGATCATATAAGCATAAGCCATCTGATCTAGAGCTCCTCAGATGTGAGACTCACTCCTCCAGACACAGGTATCTGTTCTCTCGGGCCAGGTGTCTGGCGTGGCTGATGGAGTCTCGAGCCGTAGGAAATAACCACAGAGCCGTAGCCTCTGTACATGCGCAGGCGCGGAGGAGAGCAGCACGCCGGCATGACGACGAACACCGGGATCAGCAGCTCCACCGCGTGATAGGCCACAGCCATCGAGAAGCTACAGTCTGCGGCCACGATCACACCCTTCCTCTGCTGATCCTGGAGCAGTGTACAGTACTACATTTAATGTGATGAAAACCAGAAATTACAGTAGTCGCACAGTATCACTAATACTGTTTATTTAACTTCTTAAACAGATGATGATAAAACTGAGTGCTGCCATGTCTTGACGTCTGTGACCCTGGAGCACAAAACCAGTCATAAGGGTCAATTTTGTGAAATTGAGGTGTATACATCATCTGAAAGCTGAATAAATAATCTTTCCATTGATGTATGGTTTGTTAGGATCGGACAATATTTGAAAATCTGGAATCTGAGGGTGCAAAAAAATCTAAATATTGAGAAAATCATCTTTAAAGTTGTTCAAATGAAGTTCTTAGCAATGCATATTACTAATCAAACATTAAGTTTTGATATATTTACGGTAGGACATTTACTAAATATCTTCATGGAACATGATCTTAATATCCTATTTTTGCTATTTAATATCTAGTTGCTTGACACATATTATCATATTAATTATAATATCAGTTTTATTGTTATACATTCAATATATGATGTTATATTTAGTATTTTATTAATATGTGTCAAGAAACCATAAATTACATAAAAAATGCACAGTAGTGCATATGGTATTATATTTACATGGTATGATTCAGTTTTATTTCTATAAAATTAAATATCATATATTAAACATATGAAAATAAAACAGATTTTTTGTATTATTATCATATTAAATATAATATCAATTGTATTATTATATGTTTAATTTATGATATTATGTTTAGTATTAAAATGATATATTTAAAGAAACCCCAAACTTAAGATTTGCGCTGTAATGCTCAGTTTTATTATCATATCTTTAATATATAATATTATATTTAATATTACAATAATATGTCAACAAACCAGAAAAAATCCATTACAAATTTTAGTAAATTACACTAAATTGGCACTAAATTTAGTCACTAAATTGTGAATTTTTCTCATTTAATTTCTGGTTTCTTGACACATTATTATCATATCAAATATAATACCCCTTTTATTATCATATCTTTAATATGTGCTCTTATATTTAGTATTGTAATAACATATGTCAAGAAACATAAGTCACACTTACAACTAAATCACAAAATATCAAAGTGAGTGTGTTTATCTGCAGGAGCTTTAGACTTCGTTTTTAGCACTAAATCTGTAGTTTTATGATAACTGATCAGTCTCCTTCTGCATCAGATGCACTGTTTGTAACTGAAGTGTGTGCATGACTCGTGTGTGTCTCTGTGAGCTTCTGTACGTGTGTGTTGAAGGCCTGACCTGTTTGAGAGAGGACAGCAGGTTCAGCGCTCCTCTCTCCTTCACTGAACCCGTGTAATGCAGAAGCTCTTTCTTCAGGAAGATCTCCATGCCGTGCTGTTAGGACAGTCTGGAGCACTGCGGGCAGAGCGCACACCTTCATGAGCTTGACACCAGAGCGCTGGAAATGCTTTACAACATACAGAATGTTAGAAAATAATATACTTGAATCTGAATTTGCCAATTGCTGATTGATATGCAATGCAGAGTTGTTCAAACAGGATGAGAAAAATTATATATTTTGATATATCGCCCTGATTAATCAATATTTATTTAGTTTAATTGTGGCTGATCAAGCTGTTCTATGTAGCTAGTATGCATAACAAAATGATTTCTCTGTGCAAGGTTTGACTAATGATCAACTTTTACGAAATGTAGTATTTAATAATGTTTAAATACATATAAAAATGCAAAGCCTAATGAATGTACAAATGTGACCCTGGAGCACAAAACCAGTCATAAGGGTAAATTTTTCAAAGGCTGAATAAATAAGCTTTAAACACAAAGCTTATAGTGTGTGTGTGTGTGTGTGTGATTGAGTGAGTGTGTGTGTGTGTGTGTGTGTGTGAGTGTGTTTGTGTGTGTGTGAGTGTGTGTGTGTGAGTGTGTGTGTGTTTGTGTGATTGAGTGAGTGAGTGTGTGTGTGTGTGTGTGTGTGTGTGTGTGTGTGTGTGAGTGTGTGTGATTGAGTGAGTGAGTGTGTGTGTGTGTGAGTGTGGTTGTGTGTGTGTGAGTGTGTGTGTGTTTGTGTGTTTGAGTGAGTGAGTGTGTGTGTGTGTGTGTGAGTGTGTGTGTGTGTGTGTGTGTGTGTGTGTGTGTGTGTGTGTGAGTGTGTGTGATGTGATGTGCATGTAATGACCTTCCCCTTTAACTCGCTTTGCTTGGCATTACCACTAGAGGGAGTAATAAACATATAGGATACACAGTAAGTGAGATGAAGTAGAGTAATAATCCACCTTTGCTAACAGGCACAGCTCGGGAGATTGATTCGAGCTTTCAGTTTTTATTATCCCATCGGCAAGCAGAGCGAGGTTGGTTTGTTTGTTTTTCTCATGTATTTCCTTGGTACAATATTGTTGATTAATTTTAATGTTAAATATGTTTAGTTGAAAGAGTTTATTTTTCTTTGTTTATGTTTGTTTCTTTATGTTTTCTTTGTAGTTTTACGGTGCCACGGTGTGGTCTGATTGTAATGGTGCTATGAAGTCAATCAATGGTTGTGATGCATGGAGAGAATTTGCAACAAAGAATTGAGATAACGAATACTTCAGCAGTGAAGTTTATTGCATCAGAGTAAAATAAATCGAAGGCACCCGACAGAAACTCTCTGCCTCTTTTTGTTCGACTGTCTGTCTCTGAGAGTATGTGCGAGTATGTGTGTCTGAGAGTGTCTGTGTCTGTGTCTGTGTGTGTGTGTGTGTGTGTGTGTGTGTGTGGGTGTGTGTCTGTCTGTCTGTGTGTGTGTGTGTGTGTGTGTCTGTCTGTGTCTGTCTGTCTGTGTGTATAACTATTAAAATATATAATTTGATATACATTCATTTTATTTATTTATGTCTCTTTTATTTCAGTTTTCATTATTTTATTACAAAGTTAAACTAAATAAAAATAAGAAATGTTGCCTTGGAGAGTAGCTGAGTTTATTTTATTTTATTTAGTTTAGTTTAGTTAATATTTATTTAGTTTCAGTTATAAGCTTTAGTTAACTATAATAACCCTAATGCACACTACTGTTAAAAAAAACAGTAACGCTTCTTTAAAAAAATATATATATATACTTTTATTCATCAAGAACTCATTAAACTGATCAAAAGTGACAGTAAAGACGTTTATAATGTTATAAAATATTTCTATTTCAATAAATGCTGCCCTTTTGAACTTTCGGTTCATCTGTGAATCCTGAAAAATAAAATGTATCACGGTTTCCACAAAAATATTGTGCAGCACGACTGTTTTCAACATATAGAGTGTGTGTGTGTGTCTGTGAGAGTGTCTGTGTCTACGTGTGTGTGTGTGTGTGTGTGTCTGTTTCTGAGAGTATGTGTGTCTGTGTCTGTGTGTGTGTGTGTGTGTGTGTCTGAGAGAGTGAGAGAGAGTGAGTGTGTGTGTGTGTGTCTGAGAGTGTGTCTAAGTGTGTGTGTGTGTGTGTCTGTTTCTGAGAGTATGTGTGTCTGAGAGTGTCTGTGTGTGTGTGAGTGTGTGTGTGTCTGAGAGAGTGTCTGTGTCTAAGTGTGTGTGTGTGTGTGTGTGTCTGTTTCTGAGAGTATGTGTGTCTGTGTCTGTGTGTGTGTGTGTGTGTGTGTCTGAGAGAGTGTCTGTCTAAGTGTGTGTGTGTGTGTGTCTGAGAGAGTGTCTGTGTCTAAGTGTGTGTCTGTGAGTGTGTGTGTGAGAGAGTGAGTGTGTGTGTGTGTGTCTGAGAGTGTGTGTCTCCGTGTCTGTGAGTGTCTGTCTGTGTCTGTGTGAGTGTGTCTGTGTGTGTTTGAGGGCGTGTGTGTGTGAGTGAGTGTCTCTGTGTCTGAGTGTGTGTGTGTGTGTGTGAGAGAGAGTGAGTGTGAGTGAGTGTGTGTGTGTGTGTGTGTCTGAGAGTGTGTGTCTCCGTGTCTGTGAGTGTGAGTGTCTGTCTGTGTGAGTGTGTCTGTGTGTGTCTGAGGGAGTGTGTGTGAGTGTCTCTGTGTCTGTGTGTGTGAGTGTGAGTGTCTGTGTGTGTCTGTGAGTGTGTGAGTGTGTCTGTGAGTGTGAGTGTGTGTGTGTGTGTGTGTGTGTGTGTGTGTGTGAGTGAGTGTGTCTGTGAGTGTCTCAGTGTCTGTCTGTGAGTGTGAGTGTCTGTTTGTGTCTGAGCCTGTGTGTGTGTCTGTCTGTGTGTGTGTCTGTGAGTGTGAGTGTCTGAGAGTGTCTGTGTGTGTGTGTGTGTGTGTGTGTCTGTCTGAGAGTGAGTGAGTGTGTGTGTGTGTGTGTCGTACTGTACAGGGTGCTTTCTGAATCCCGGCCTGCTGGAGTTTGAAGGCTGCTGCGCTGATGTCCTCAAAGCGCAGATGTTCAGGGCTGCTGTCTTGCTCTCTCCGCTCTTCTTCACGGCCGGTTTGGGTGTGGACATTAACTGGACCTCCGGCGGTTCTGAAACGCTGGTCTCGAAGACCTTCATGTCTTCATTGAGGTACTCCTCGGCTCCGAAGTCCTTCAGGCGTTCTGGACAGATGAGCGTGGAGCGGCAACCCACTCGACCATTCCCGATCCGGCTGTCTTTAGCGCACGGGCCGCTGTGGAAGGAGCAGTCGGGTTTGGAGGAACCTCTGCGCTGCTCCGCACTGTCCCAGGAAAAACAGAGAGTAACTCTACTCTGCTAAACCTGCTCTAGAAATACTGTGACTCTAATGACAAGTTATCAAGTCTAAACCTGAAACTACAATTAAAACCAACCAAAAATATTGGTACTTGAAATAAACATTAACTGAAATAAAATTAAATATAAAAAACCTTTTATTTGCGCTAGTAGCCAATTTCTCGTCTGAATTTAGTTTAACTTGATCTACTAAAATAACTAAAACAAAAAAAAAATACAAAAAACCGTTATAGACAAATAAAACTAAATCACACAACAAAGTTACTCACTAAAGCTTGAAAATTAAAATGAAAAAAATATATAAAAACTATCATTAAAATATTCATAAAAAATTGTATTTCAATGATACTAAAATAGCATAGGTATGGAGGTCCCATTAATTAACATCCGTTAATGCATTAACTAACAATGAGCAAAGCATTTATTACAATATTTAATAATCTTTGTTGATGTTAGGTAATAAAAATACAGCTGTTCATTGTTAATTCAAGTTAGCTCAGCTCCATTAAATTATATGAATAGATATGACTTTTGATTTTAATAGTACATTAGTAAATGTTTAAATTGACTTAATAAATGCTTTAATAAATTAATCTCAGCCATGTACAGACGCTTAAGTGAAGTTAATAGTGTTTGAGTGTCTCTGGTCATGTGTGTCCAGCACTGAAGTCTATTAATATCCGAGCTCTGCAGGTCTGACCTCTCGTCTCATTCCCACATCACAACATCTCTGTTACTGTCGTGCATTAATAACTTTTTTCAAGATGTTTGAAGCTCTCTCCGCTCTCACACGTTTACCGTGGCAGGAAGAGGAGGATGAAGGTGAGGAAGAGTCTGAGGAGGATGCAGACTAAAGCTTGGAGGAGCGACAGGAGAGTGGCGTTCTCTGTGAGCTGTGGGAACGCAGGCAGAGCTACGGATGAGGACGGTTCTGCTGGGTCTACAGGAGCTTTGGAAGCGGGTTGAGGAGCATCAGCCCTCTGCAGCTCCAGCTTGAGGCCTGCTAGGTTTTCTGGGAGCGGGATGAGGAGTGGGATCTGCCGAGGGTTTGTCCATGTGTGATGGAGATGAAGCCTGGTGTCTCCGTGTGAGTTCTGGTCCAGGTTTGTGCATCTCAAGGGTTTTACGGGCAGGTGAGTGTGAATCAGTGGATGGAGGAACACAGGATGGGAAGGAGAACACAGAGGAACCGCTACATGCTGGTGAAACTCCACACCAGGCACATCACGTCTCTCAGACTCAGGAGGACACTGGGAAGACTCTCTAAGGGTTTCAGATGTGCACGCTACGGTTTCCCACCTCTGCCAGAAGGGATCATATTCCTCGCTGTCATTAAAGCTCCTCCGCGTCTCCTGCCCCTGCAAGCCGTCATTCACAAAGTTAGCAAAAAACTGCGCTGAGAAATTCATCCTGGACTCAAGCTGACATGAAATACGAAGCTCAGCAGTATTGTCCTCTTTCTCAGGCGTCCTCCACAACATTAGCTCACAGCTCAGGGTTATTTAAGCAGGTATTAGCCATAATCACACGCTGGAGTCTCTGGGGCCCTTCCAGTCCTCCAGGACTCCACCTACAGCTCTATTCCTGTATCAGACCCGGGTTAAACCCGCCTCTCACGTGGTCTAATCAGACTCTCTAAAGGAATAGATGAGGACTTTGTCCAGCAGAAAGTGTCCTCCAGAAGACCTCAAGCTCTGACCTCTAGGACAGGCCAAATCCTCCTCAGACCGGATCACAGATCACCTCTGACTTCACAATCATCATTTATGATGCTCCCGACTCAAATGGTACAACCGTGATATGATGTACGCAATTAATATTCATTGCAGTATACGCACTCACCATCAGTTTTTAATGTAAACCTCTCAGCACATTTAATTGATATATAATCTCATTGCTTAACCAGATTTCAGATTTGTACATTTTTTAAAGGAAATGTCTTTGCCCGTGCAGAGGTCTCCACCACAGTGCTGTTCTGTGCGGTTGCTAGGGTGCATATGTGCTTTCTAGGGTATTCTGGGTGGTTGCTGTGTGTTGCTAGGGTGTTCTGTTGGTTGATATGGTGTTCTGTGTGGTTTCTAGGGTGTTCCTTGTGGTTGCTATGTATTGTTAGGGTGTTCTGGGGTTTTTCTAGGGTGTTGCTAGGATGTTTTCTGTGTGGTTGCTAGATGTTACTGTGGTTTTCTGGGTGGTTGCTAGGGTGTTCTGTGTGGTTTCTAGGGAGTTGCTAGGGTGTTTTCTGTGTGGTTGCCAGATATTGCTGGGGTTTTCTGGGTGGTTGTTAGGGTGTTGCATAGCTGTTCTGTATCATTCCTAGGGTGTTTTGTATGGTTACTAATGTGGGGTGAGGGGTTGCTAGGGTATTCTGGGTGGTTTCTAGGGTGTTACTAGGGTGTTTTGTGTGGTTGCTAGATGTTACTGTGGTTTTCTGGGTGGTTGCTAGGGTGTTGCCTGGTTCTGTGTGGTTGCTAGGGTGGCCTTGTGGTTGCTAGGGTGTTCTGGGTGGTTGCTATGGTATCCGGTGTGGTTGCTAGGGTGTTCCTTGTTGTTGGTAAGTATTGATAGTTTTCATGTGATGTCACACCCTTGTAGAAACGGCTTTGTGGAATAGTGGAATAGCTTTGCTCCACTGACCGACAGTTATTTTTGCGCTGTTTGCATTAAGTAGTAATGCAGATATTAAAAGGCGAAATTCAGTAAACACCTGATTGATTATGTATATTTTGTACAGGCAAGCAGATGAACCCAGAATATAAACACAATGTGCAAAGTTTCACATTAAATGGTTTCCCATAGAAAACCATTATAAGGAAAACACTGAACCATTAAGTGGATGGTGTTCACATTCCGGCCTCATCTGCTTGCCTATGTAAACTGCGCATCATTAATATGGTGATTACTGAATTTGATCTTTTAATATTACTGTTTTAAATATATTAAGGCACTTTAAGTGTTTTTACAACGTTTTGTCGCACTGTTTAATGATTGAAATATTGCCGTGGGTGCTTAATATGGATTACAAATGGACAAAACTTGTTTTGTTTTATTCTTCTGAGAGGTGATCTGGAAATTTGAGAGGCTTGTGCTGCAGTTCTATGGATGTTT